CTAAATGTAAGGCCAGAAACTATCAAACTCTTAGAAGAAAACATAGGCAGAACACTCTATGACATAAATCACAGCAAGATCCTTTTGGACCCACCTCCTAGAGAAATGGAAATAAAAACAAAAATGAACAAATGGGACCTAATGAAACTTCAAATCTTTTGCACAGCAAAGGAAACCATAAACAAGACGAAAAGACATCCCTCAGAATGGGAGAAAATATTTGCAAACGAAGCAACTGGCAAAGGATTAATCTCCAAAATTTAGCTCATACATATCAGGAAGCCAAACAGCTCATGTAGCTCATACATACCAGGAAACCAAAAACCCAATCAAAAAATGGGCAGAAGACCCAAATAAACATTTCTCCAAAGAAGGTATACAGATAGCCAACAGACACATGAAAGGATGCTCAACATCACTAATCATTAGAGAAATGCAAATCAAAACTACAATGAGGTATCACCTCACACCAGTCAGAATGGCCATTATAAAAAAATCTACAAACAATAAATGCTGGAGAGGGTGTGGAGAAAAGGGAACCCTCTTGCACTGCTGGTGGGAATGTAAATTGATACAGCCACTATGGAGAACAGTATGGAGGTTCCTTAAAAAACTAAAAATAGAACTACCATACGACCCAGCAATCCCACTACTGGGCATATACCCTAAGAAAACCATAATTCAAAAAGAGGCATGTACCACAATGTTCATTGCAGCTCTATTTAATAGCCAGGACATGGAAGCAACCTAAGTCTGTCCATCAACAGATAATGGATAAGGAAGATATGGCACATAGATACAATGGAATATTACTCAGCCATAGAAAGAAAAGAAACTGAGTTATTTGTGGTGAGGCGATGGACCTAGAGTCTGTCATACAGAGTGAAGTAAGTCAGAAAGAGAAAAACAAATAACGTATGCTAACACATATATATGGAATCTAAAAAAAAAAAAAAAAAGGTTCTGAAGAACCTAGGGGCAGGACAGGAATAAAGACGCAGCCGTAGAAAATGGACTTGAGGTCATAGGGAGGAGGAAGAGTAAGCTGGGACAAAGTGAGAGAGTGGCATGGACATATATACACTACCAAATGTAAAATAGCTAGCTAGTGGAAAGCAGCTGTATAGCACAGGAAGATCAGTTCAGTGCTTTGTGACCACCTAGAGGGGTGGGATAGGGAGGGTGGGAGGGAGATGCAAGTGGGAGGAGATATAGCAATATATGTATACGTATATCTGATTCACTTTGTTATAAAGCAGAAAGTAACACACCACTGTAAAGCAATTATACTCCAAAAAAGATGTTAAAAAATAAAAGCCCAAATCCTTTATATTCAAAATCCTTTTTTTTAGTTTAGTTTGATTTGGTACCTCTGCCTCTGCCTGTGTGTGCTTACATGTTTCAAATGAAAACCAAGCTGTCTTCTTTGGTCAGGTTGACTGTGAAAATGGCCATACTATATGAGACACCATTTATGTGGCTTCTTTCTCTTGTTCATGTATAGATCCTCTTAGTATATTAACTTGAAAAGGTATGTTTCTTTAATTACTATAAAAATTGTTACAAATCAAACTAATAGGATTTTGCAGACTTTTTGAAAAATGTTTTCTTCTTTATGGAAACATGTATTTTGCAAACATTGACTTTAAATAATTATTACAAACAAAATTAAAATAAAAAGCATGGATGTCTTTGGCATTAGGCCAATTTATCTCTAACACATTATAACATTGATGTTGAATCCTATTTGTTACGTGTCTTTGAAGCCATGAAACCTGATAGATTTCCATTAAAGTGAACACAGATTATGTTTAAAAAATGAATTCATAAAACAAGGATTTCAAAATGTTATACTAACCACTCCATATTAATAAAATGCTTGCTTATGACCTTCAGGATAGGCAATTTCAATAACAATAATCAGGTGTCTTTGTAGATCCAGAATGAAACCAAACTGATTATGATAATGACACACTATAGAATTTCATCCCCATATTTGCTTTTTAAGTATGGCATAAAATAACAGTATTTAATTTAAAGGGCATTAAATTCACATCATCTCCATAAGTATAGAGCCCAGTTTACAGATGACTACAATGAAGAAATCTTGCTAGCAACCCGACTTTGGTTCTCAACCTTTTCTAAACTTATGTTCCTTGACACTATATGCTACATGGAATAGTAAAGACATCTGAATTCAAATATTTTGAAGAAATGTGTATTTAGCAACTGAATACATGCTAAAAGGAATAATTTACAGCAGCAGTTTCATTACATTTTTCTCTCCAGTTTTCTAGTTCCCATCTGAAATGCAATGATAAATACAGATATGGAACGTATTTACTACCTGGCAAAAAACATGCTGATTGAATGGGCACACAGCTTCTGCCCTTAAATAGTACATAAGCCACCTTGTTACCTTGTGGGAAAATCTTGCATTTTAGGATGATGTTGAACACACTGAAATGGAGTACCTATAAAAAGTTGCATTTTACACTGTCCTTCCTCTTCTTTTCAAAATTATGTACATCTCTGTTGCCCAATGTGTAGGTAGCAAAAATATTAAACACATACCACTGAAAATCACTAAATAATACATAAAATGTAGCAGTAAGTGTACATTTACATTTTGCATTTGATTTCAACTGGGCCATAATTTCTCTGCTGTGCTGTACCTTTTTCCTATTTTAAGATTGCTGTAATAATCTGTTCAAGGTCACATGAGTCTCTTAACAAAGTTTCAACTCTGATGATACATGCATAAGCCAAAGTCTATTGAAACTGAATTAAATGGGACATTAATTACTTTTTGTGCAAACTGCCCACCTCAATACCCATTGGCAGAAGATTATGACTGTAATAAGACTTATTTACCTGCATGTTATATCTATAATTTTCTTCGAAAACTTAGACCTGATGATTTATAAAGACATGTCAGTGGATTTGTTTTTGTTTCTGTTAGTTGAAATCTACACATTCCTTCTATGGGTATTTCATAATGCTAAACAAAATGCATTCAGATATTGGAAGGCATCCCTGAAGTTATACAATCTCTACCCCTTCAAATCGTTTATTTTTGAGGACTAATAAGAAATAAGATACTTCTGTTATTGCAAATAAATTTGTTTCAGCTGCAAATTTAGAAATAAAATGCAACACCGAATTTTAGTACAGTTAAGATACTCTATGAGACATTTTTAAATGACCTATTTTTGGAGCACTCTTGGTTTTTGATTTATATCTCAAACATTTTTTTTTTCCTCTACAGGAGTCTGTCCTTCAAATAATTTAAAATTTAGCTACCATTTGAGGATGTACTTCTAAAAGTAACACTGTATTAATCATTGGAGCCTAAAATTGAATGTAGAATATTTTTAGGCTCCCATTTGAAACAAACGTCAAAAGATCATTTATTCAAAGTAATCACTAAAACTGAAACATGAGCTTCCATCTGTGAATATTTCAGCTGATAGAGAAATAAAAAAAAATTCACTGTAGGCTGAGGTGAGAAATTAATGCTGAGTTAATTAGAATCCCAAGACAGCTAGAGTTAGAATTTCAATGCTGCTTTCATTAATTAGCAATAAGATGTTTCCTTTGCATTTTTGTGCGTGACGAAGGACCCAGAGAGGGATTCTTGGAAAGATGAGTGCAGTGCAAAAGAAACTGCATTGCAATGTTGAAGGTCTTATACATCTTGAAGTCAATGATTCTCACAGAATCATCTTAGGGCAATGAAGCAGGCAAGCCCCTAATTAATAATCTTTTATCTTATTTTATAAGTTGTTGCAGGAGACAAAGAGCTTTACATGTTTTAAGTGTGAGCTGTGTCCTGGAAAATAGTTTATATAAAAGTCACTCCCATTGACCTAAAAAGAGTCATGTGTCCTTTAGACAGATAATTGTCTTAAACAAGGTGAGATAAGAGGCAGCTGATAAAAATGTAAACAGAGTTGGGAAATTTGCTTTTAGGAGGTTGTTCTGGATATTACTGATCTCCCTCTTCTCAAAAAAATTAAGTGACAGATAAAATTCCAAATGGAGTCATGAGAGAGAGTTTTTATGTCTCAAATATCAGGCAGGAATTCAAGCGCAGAATTAAGATATTTTCTATTAACATTAAATTAAACCAATGCTTACTATTTGCATGAAATATGCAGTTCCTTTTCTCTTTGTTGATCCTTTAGGTACAAGAAAATGCATTTACAAATCTATTTCTTTCTTCTCTTTTTTTTTTCCGGTTAAATGCTCTGTTTTTCTAAGAACATTATGCAGGTTCTAATTAATTTAGATAATATTTGAAGAAGGAGAAGTGTTTTTTTTTAATTCCTCAGAGAAATAAAGCATAATTTATATCCAGATTTTAGGAATTAGTTGTTAATGATGTATATATGTTTCTAGGACAATATCGGTTATTCCTCTTGCAAAACTGAAAACAACGTTTTAAAAAAAGCAGCACACAATTGGAGTTTTTAAAAACAAAAACTACATAGCACAATAACTGTAAGACAAAAACCTACTCTAGCTTAGAAAAGAGCTAATTTTTTCTGCATATTTGTCATTGTACATTTAAATTATAGTTTTAATAAAATACATCTTTAGATCAAAGCTGGAAGAAGACATCAGTAGTAGATCAGTGTATTCCATTTTTCTTCTGGATGATGGATGGTTTATGTTTTTCGTATTTCCACAGACCGTTTAATTCAGTATCATTTTACTCCTCCGGTACATATAAACATGAGTGCTGGTAGACAAAAAATATCCTTGAATCCAACAGTGTTTTGGAATATTCATCAGCTTAGTAAATCCATGCAGTTTCAAACTTCTAGTTCAATAAAATGGCTTTGCTGATGCCGTTTTTCTTCTTTAGATGGCAACATGGCAAATGACATTTTTATTTCTCAGGCAAAGAAGAAAGCAAAACCTGTATAGTGAAATCTCATAGGAAACATTAAGTCACTAGCGTGAACATCTGCATTCACCTGACCTCTATTAAGTGTTGGTATTAGGAAGAAATCCTGTTAGTAAAGTTACTCATGGACCTAATTTATAATTGGTGGAACTCAGGTGCACTCCCCACCATTGTAAACATCCACATAATGCCATGAAAAAAGTTCATGTATATTGCATTTTTTCCAGTTATTGTCTAGGCAAGTTTCTACTTGTTTGAGGTTTCTAGAGGTAATGCAGCTCAGACACTCCTGGGTGCCCTCTCAAATTCGTGGGTCCTCCTGTTTCTACCTTTCTTATTTTCCTGTAAGTGCTTCCATTTGTTACTGTTCCCTTGGGTATGTCCTGGCCTTTGCCGACGCTGTTTTCGGTCCCTTTTCCAAACTTGTTCGCAGAACTCATCCATTGTGTTCAGGTTGGGGTGGTTGATGAGTTGCATGAAGTCTCTGTACCAGACCTTCTGGCTAGGTGTCATGCTGTTAGAAATTTCTTTGGTCTTAGAGCCATCTCCATCATCATCTTTATGAAGAAGTTCTTCCAAATGCTCTGTGTCGATGACTTCCAGGGTCACTTTAAGAAGGGTTTGCATGAATCCGTGTTCCACGGCATGACAGAGGTAATCGCCTGAATCCTTCCGCTGCAGACTACGCAACAGAAGGCCTTGTTCGGTCCTAATGATATGATCATCCACTCTGATCTAGCAAAAGAAAAGATGTAGTAAAATCATACATATTTACAAGAAATATAGGCTCCAAAACTCTGTCTCAGCAAAAATTTAGACTGTGTACTGAGACACATTTTCATAGTTAATAAAATTTCTAGTTTAAGAGAAATGACTGCATTTTCCTATCAGGGAAAAGAGTTATAAATTTCTTCCAATTGTTTTTAAGAAGCATTGCAAAATATTGCTGTCTATTGTCTTAATAGAATTTCTCATAATAATTTAAAGTAATCAAGATAATGGGATGAAAGGATAAAGATATACTTTATAAATTTGAAATAAGCTATATAAATATAGGAGAAAGTTAACATTGAATATTGGGATTGGAAATACAGAAACATGATACTAGAAAACAATGCAGCATTAGAATAAATTTATAATAAGGTTTGAAAAATAGGATAAGTCCAGCAGTTGAGCAACCAGAAAAAACATGGGATTGCATGCTTACTTATTTATTCAATTTCCTAAGCCTTAGATGTGACATGAAGATAGGCTATTTAATATGTCTAACCTCACTTTTATTTTGCATACAGTTTACGAAAGAGATCTCTGAAAGTCACGGCTGGTAATATATAAAATCAACCTTAACATTTATATGATGTGATTACATGTTTGAAGACTGCTTCAACTGTCAAAAGAGATAACAGAAGGACTTTTACTTCTACATTCAGATGCACATTGTACATTCACAAATCACCTACATACTATGGTTATCCTATTTAACACTTTTTAAAAAGTTTTAAAGGCTCAGAGTACTCACTGAGATGTTCTATGTATATATATTTTAAAATTTTACAGAGGAATAAATGGATCCACTGAGGAGGAAGATTTGTGTGAAACTACATGCACAGTTCACATCAGAGTTCATAATTGGACCTCAGATCCTTTATCCAAAATCTACTACTCCTTTCCCTTAACTGCCCCTTCCCATTTGAGGAGGAAGTTAATGGAGAAAGGAAAACATGTTTGGAGAGCAGAATTAATTGAACAAAAGTTAAAATTAGTAGAAGGATTAGATTTTTTTCTTGTATATGAATGTAGATAACATAATTGTTTTGTTGATAACTCCAGGAAGAACAAAGAAGTCTCTAAAATATATCCCCAAACAGCTTCTGAGACAAAACTCTTACCAGTTCACCTTTGTTTCTCTAACTCCTATCACAAAGCCTGTCATAAAATCAGCCTTCAATTAATAACTTGTTTAATGAATGAGTATTGGTATGCTAGGAAAAGAATAAATATTCACAGTACTTTCTTTTCCCCTCTCAAGTCAACCATGCTGGGGTCACTTAACGGCATATGTCATATAGAATTAATCCAGTCAGTTTCTTTCCTATACCTCTTCTTTTCGCTCTTCATTTCGCCTCTGGAATTGCCAATAGACCAGAGCTCGCTGTGATTTTGGACTGCATTCCAGGAACGTGCTACTATTTTCTACTCCATAGATGATTCTTTCTTCAAAGCTGTGGCCATGGTGATTATCTGGCCGGTGATGAGGAAATGAAATGAGAAAATGTTAGAGAAGTAAACTCAACTTTCCAAAGTATTTATTCAGAAATTCAGGAGATGAATTTGTTGCCAAGTTGGAAGTCTTTTCCAATTTGATTGAAGATGGCAGAAATGACAAGGTTTCAGAATTCAAGTGTCTACTAAATAGACTAATTATTTCAGTATGGGTTATATAAAACATATACAGAGATTTGTCTACCAGAAAATAGCATTACATTAACAAAAACAGTCATGTGTGCAGTATAACTATACATTTATATGCCATGATAATACTCTCCAAGATATTCTTTTCATTGTAAAACTCTATGCCCTGACTAATGGTGCCAGTGAATTTCTGCCACAATTCTCCAGCAGAAAAGTTATTCGATTGGGTTTTTGGAAATAAGAGTCCATTTCTGAGAGCTTAATTTTGCCTTTTTGTGTTTGTTTTTCATCTGTAAAATTAAATTTACCAGCCAGTAATATTTAGCTAGTATTTTACAGAAGGTAGAGTTCAGGAAGTTTATACTCCCCACCAACAACCCTTAAATAATCCACAAGTTTGATCTGAAGATCAATTGGTGTGAAATGTTTGGGATGGCTCAGAAGAAAGATGCACAATTATAATGCAATGTGGTTTCAATTGTCCTTATTTTAAAATGACACATCTTTTATTATTTTCAAGAATTAGGCTAAAGAATATGGCAAGAGTATATAATAAAATGCAGCAATAAGAAATTCTGTTTCCTGATTAAGTTTCTATTATTTTACCCTTTATGTAACCTCCTTCAATGTGGTAAATGAAACACAGTTAAGATCAAAAGTACGACACGGGGTGTCTAGGTAAAACTCATTTAGAGAAGAAAAGCTCCTTATTATCTTGTTTAATTCTGTTTCCATTATGACATCCTGTACAATCTGGAACTCATTAAATTAATTTAGAAAATAATAAATATATTTTCACATGCACAGAGGGCTGACAGTGTAGACAGATGAAAAATTTTTGCTTTCTTCTTCAAACTCAGCTAGATTTTTAATTAAAAAAATGTTTCCCCTTTTTGTATCACTTTGACAGTTTTACTCTTGTTATAACTATCTGAGTACTTCTGTCTGTCATAGACAGTATGATTTGCTCTAAGTTTAAAACTCTCCAAAATCCTGCTTCCGTCCAATTCCCATACACAGCCTATGGCCATCATCTCCTATTCTCACCCTACCTATAGTCAACCTTCTGCCTGCATTTGCTATCTCCAGGGATGTCAGTCCCAGTGCTTTTTCCTTTATTGTTCTAGGTGTGAAACAAAACTCTTCTAATATTGGGAAGTATCTGTCTCTTCTTATTTAAAAGATCAATACTCTAGAAATAATAAAAAACAGGAAATGACTGAAATGTAAAGAAACAATATTTAACTGATTCCAAGTCACAGTTTATTTCATCTTAGAGATATGTATATCTGTGTGTCAATATATACATGCACTATGGTAGTGTTTTTCTTTTCCCTCTGAAATTATTAGTATATCTTTGATTGAACAGATATGGCACTCGTTGCTGTGCTAGTTTTCAAGACATCTGCTTCCTTGGATAGAGATGAATTGAGTGTCTATGTCCAACATGAGCTGGGAGATCTGTGATTCAGGAGCTACCATGAATAATTAGAATGCCTTGTCACAGAGGTCTTTAGAGTTTACACAGAATGTATTTTTTTTTTCTGCTAATGGTTGTGAAGTTTAAACTTATTTGATTTAGAAATTATTTTACTTGTAATATTATGCAACCTTAAAAAAGGTGGAAATCTGCAATATGCAACAACATGGATGAAACTTGAAGACATGCTAAGTGAAATAAGCCAGTCACAGAAAAACAAATACTGCATGATTCCACTTAGATGAAGTATTTAAAGTAGTAAATACTCGTAGAAGCAGATAGTAGAATGGTGGTTGCCATGGAGTGGGGGGGAAGGGAAATGGGGAGTTGCTAGTCAATGGGTATAACATTTTATTTATGCAAGATAAATGAGATCTTGAGATCTGCTATACAACATTACGCCTATAGTGAACAATACTTCAAATTTTGTTGAGGGTGGATTTCATGTTGTGTTCTGACTCCAATAAAATAAAAACATTAAAAAAATATTTAATTAAAAAAAGAAATCCTATTACTTTTAGGAAGTTACTTTTCATTCAATATCTACATATTACTGAATCATGAGATATATGACAGCATGATAACACAGCAAAAATCAGCTGGATATAGAGACAAACAGTATGGTTATCCACCAGTATCTTCTGTCTTGCCAGCCATGCCTCTCAGGTCTAGTTCTCTTGTAGAAATTTATGATAATACTTGACTTGTCTCTCATCTAATTTGTCCAAGTTACTATAGATATCTATAGAAATCTAAGGTATAAATAAGTTATTGCTCTCAAACATAGAGATCTGTATAAATCCTTCAGTACATTAGTTGATACACAGATAAGAAAAGCAATGTAACTTGTATAAGAAATAATAGAGCTTAATATAAATGAAACATCTATTAGGTACATTTTAAAAAAAGTCACTGTTTGTCTTCTCAATTAATTTAATCATTCTAACTGATCCATAGAGAGCTTTCTGTCACCTCTAGAGTTTTGGGAAGTCTACTTAGTTTTTAGTTTCTCTCCAAGATCTCTGGTGACAGCAAATGTTTCCCAAAGCCCATTAAAGAAAAGAATTCTCTTAGTGGTAAATGTTTCTTGAATTTAAAAAATATTCATCTGTTACTTATCTATAGTAGAATCTAGTAAATTTATACCAAGTTGTTTTTGGTTTAATATAGCAATAGGCCATGGACTTCAAAAAATATCATGACATTCAGATACTTTCCCACCTGAATAAGATAAGAAGCACAACTGGTGGATTTGGTTCACTGTCTTGGTGTCTTAATAACTACTCTTGCCAATACCTTAAGGATTCATTCCCCTCTAAGTTGGCCCTTTCTTTCTCTCCTTTGTCGAAATTGAAAGCAAAATAAAATCTTCTAGTTAGTAAGCAGTGAAGCTAAAAGTCCTGTCATAATAACTATCAGTCTTAATATGCAGAGGTACTACTCTCTTCTCTCTTTCTTTGGTTTGAGAGTCTCCTACTGTATGTTCTGTTAGATTCTGCGACTGCCAAAAAATGGAAGAAACTAAATATCTTTTGAATACACTTGTTTCTCTTAATTCCTCTGCAGTAGAATGTTTCTATCATCAGCAACTTTTAATTTAGGACGAGAACTTTCATTTAAAGTGGCCTCAGCCAAGCATTCATATATGTGGGTGCTTTGACATCACACCCTGTAAACATTTTTTCTGTTAATTTCTCCACACCTGATACCTTATAAACAGATACTCAATAAATATCTTAATTTTTAATTTTAAATTTATTTTTATACAATTCTTACCAGTTACACTCCATTTACAGTTATTACCAAATATTGGCTATATTCCCCACATTGTACAATATATCCTTGCAGCCTATCTTACACCCAATAGACTACTGGAAGGCACTCAGTAAATATTCATTCCCTTTTCTGACCCTTCTATCCCAACCACTTGAGTAAATTTTGTACAACATAGGAAACATTAGGGGTCTAATAACAATATGTTTTTCTCTCTCTTCTTTTCTCCCTCCTCTCTTCCCTCCTATAACCCCTTTACCCCCATCTGTGTTCTTTCCCTCTCTTTCTCTCAAAAAAAAAAAAAAAAAATTAACAAACAGGAACATTTTGATTCTTGACTTCTAAACTTATTAGATTTTCAATTTTTTGATGCCAAATACACTATCATTTTTGACTGTTATTAAAGCAAACAGCTCTGCATAGAAATGGTGGCATAGAATATAGCTGCACTATAAGTATTTTTCAGAGCATATACTGTTGAACTCATAAATACACAATATAAATCAAAAGCTCACCTGAGAAAACATCATTGATTAAAGATTTCCTGAAGGATATGAAATCTTGCACATACAGGTAAATCTAATCTAAAATCTCTCTCTGGATTATAGTTGAAACAAGAGCAGTTTACATGAAACACATTGTGTTAATCCCATGATATAATTGATTTTATTGAATCCTGTTGAGTGGGGTCCCTCTGATCTTTGTTGAGGGAACCCATAAGCAATACTCTATGGATTCGCTCACTGTGTTTATGTCCCAATGTTGTTGACTATGGTGTTCATCTTTGGGAAATTTTTCTAATGTTAGTTTTTAGGAATTATTGAGATTCGCTTGAACAACTGATTTTTTTTAATGAACTTTGTGACTCACCACTTGATCATATTTCTCCCCCCACATTGGCTGAAAAAACCCATTAAACAAATTTATGTCTTACCCTTATAACTTCTTAGTAAATATGTCCTTGTCACATGCCTGGTTTTGTTCTCTGTCAGTACATCTGCTTTGCCTGTGTGACATTATTGCTGCCTTTATCCTATCTTTGCTTTTAATCAAACAATTGCAAATTGTCTGAAATATATTAGGTCACTTATCAATTACAGACAGCATATACTTTTTATAATCCCCTTAAATATATTTTGTTATTAAAATATATCTACATACAAATAATAGTACATTGTCTGGATACAGAGGTAGTCATAAATATGTGAGGTGATATTATTGTTATTGCTGTTCTTGTGATAGTTTCAACTGTTTATTCAAAAATTAAAATCCTTTATTGAGAAGCCCTAATAAGACAAATTATGAGCTCCTTCCCAGCATCAATTCTGCTCTCTCACCCGTATCAAAAAAAAGTATTGCTTATTCTATGCTTTCAAAAAGTCTCTTTTTACATGTATCTTTAGAGCACATGTAGTCTTATTTGTTACAATTTTTTATTAATCTGATTATCTCCCTCATACTGTGCATTCCACAAATTGGGCACAAGGTAGTCATAAACCCTTAGCTGATGTTTGCTGAATGGCAAATCCAGGTAACAGTTTACTCTGCATTTAAAAGCTGAAATCTCATGTAACTT